GAAAGAAAGATAGTCAGTCTTCAAGGGTCTGTCTGTGCCTGGTGCATTTCTGCCTCTGGTGGATTCTAAAGTAGAGGATCTCTGATGTCTAACTACCTGAATGTGACAGGTGGGATCTATTTTATAGCTGACATCTTTAATGCTTGATACATCTGTCCATCTGTTAGAAACATTAGTCAAAAATTTAATAGGAGACATATTTATTAAAAGTAGAATTACAGCAGATCAGATGCTGAGCACATAATTATGTAATTTTTATAAACATGTTTTACATAAGATCCATGGTAAAGATGCTTATGAAATACTTATTACTGGTATATTTTCCAAATCTAAGAGAGTTTTATTTAAAATATTTAGTTTTAGATAAACTTCAAAATTTCTAACATGCTAATAATTTTTATTACATAGACATGTTAATGAATTTCTTTCTTCAAAAGTTTAACATTTGAGGCCACACTAAAACTTTTAATGCAAACATCATGCTGAAGCCTTCTCATTCTAATACTGGTAGAAAGAGGCAGCTGCCTCTTCCACGGGGCTTATCGTCGGGGAGGCTCACTTTATATGACTTCAAAGTGAGATAAGCGCTATAGAGTAATTCTTACGGTGATAGTATTGAGGAGTAATGAGTGGAGTTCTTTTCAGAGAAGTTCAATAGGAGGCAGCAGAAGGGGAAGTGGGGAAAGAGGGCGTACTTGTATTCTAGGCTTCTCGAAGGAAGAACAGGCCTGAGTGTTCCAACGCAATATAGAGTTTGGTGTGCTGTAGAACAGACAGGCCGCTAAACCTAGGGGAGAGAAGTAAAAGATAGGATTGAAGAGGAGAAGCAGCACCAGCTTAGGTACCACTTTGTAGACCATGGAGAATAATTTGACTAGTTAATGTACATATGGGTCTTTTAAACAAGTATTTATACTTAATGGATTATTTGTATAAATCCATTTTTTGCTTCTAGTTTCTTTCTACCTAATATACTGTAGATCACAGAAGATTAGAAAACTATATTTAATGTTTTAGTGGCTTTTCTTCATTGTACAGAGAGTTAAGAGTTCCACAGCAAGCACTGAAATGTTACTTTTGAGCAAATTATTACTTTTTATAAAGTTTATGAAGGACTTAGGTTAATGAAATTTGAATTCTGGGGAAGTTTACAAGATCTCTCTTCCCTCTGTTTAATCCTAGGAAATATTGTGTATTTTTAAAAAAATGAGAATGGGAATGATAATCTCAATATAATTGAATACATGCTACAAATAATGAGACAATTGAAAAGAGAGCTAAGTAGGGATAAATAAATTAAGGGATTAAGAATTAGAAAGCTTTGGCAAAAGTAGCAACACTATCTTTTTGGATACTTCTGTATTCTCTATTACTAGATTTTTAAACAAATCAGTGTTGCTTTATGTAGTAGAAATCATTCGAATCAAAATTATCTTTAGAACAGTCCAATTTTTAGCCAGGTGGTAGTAAATATACGAAAGACAGAAATTTTTATTTTGTTTATTTTTATAATATTATTAGGTTTGTTTACTGAGTGAGTAATTGAAACTCCTGCTATGCTGAAATCACAAATAATTATATATTACTCCTATAATGTAACTGAGAAAAACATAGTTTGGTCCCACAGGTGAGTGCAATTAAGCTAAGCAAACAGAAGAAATAAGGCCATATTCCATACAAAAACAACAAATGTTTCACAATATGTCAATATGGTACTGCCATATCCTTAATTAGAAATAAATTTTTACCTAAATAATATGGCCTTGATACTAGTATTTGATTAATACCTGATTTAGGAGGTTCCAATCTTTATTTAATACCACAATGTCTACTGCTGAACTATAGTAATATTTAGTATCAATCAGAAACAATAGTTAGGGGCCAAAGAGGTAAAATCCTTTTAGACTGCACGTCTATACATATCTACAGGGAGAATTAGACACAGTTTCTGCATGTCTTTACATCGTTGCTCAGAATTAGAGTTCAGTAGGATTAAAAACATGTTTTCATTGGTTAATCTTAGGTTATGTTTTACATCCAAACATGTATGCTCTTTTGAGGGAGTAGATCTTTATTGTGATTATTATATGTTTCAACTGTTAAGAAAAATCCTAGTATACGATTGCTGAACTGAAAAGCTAAGGCTATTTCCTTTTTATTTGTTCATTTAGTAACTATTATTTTTTAATAGAGATGGGGTCTCACCGTGTTGACCAGGCTGGTCTCGAACTCCTGGGCTCAGGCAGTCCTCCCGCCTCAGTCTCTCAAAGTGCTGGCATTACAGGTGTGAGCCACCACGCGCAGCCCTGAAAAGCTAAGGCTATTTAACAACTTTCAAGTAATCATTATTATTATTCTTAAAGTTGAACTAGATTAATTTTAAGAGAGGCAACTGATATTTGACACAACTTATTAGCATTTAGCCAGTCTGAGGCTACTCTCATGGACATCCCTGCCTCTGGGAGGGAAAATTGTGGATTTGGGATGTTCATGATATAATACGTTTTTATATTTACATTTATAGTATTATATATTATTATATGTAATAATATGTAATAAAATAATATATATAAAATAAAATACTTTATAAATAAAGTAGATATTGAATTATACACATTATAATAATATATAATATGTATATATATTATTATATATAATATGTATATATAATAATATATAATATGTATAATTCAATATCTACTTTATGTAAACCATATGAAATCCATATCTTTCTAAAGACCTATATCTGATTAATGCATTCATTTAACACATATTTACTAAACTTACAGTAGTCCCTCCTCATCTATAGTTTATCTTTCCATAGTCTCAGTTACCCATTGTCAACAATAGTTTGAAAATGTTACAGTATTTTGAGAGAGAGAAAGGCTGCATTTATATAACTTAGAGTATATTGTTATAATTCTTCTATTATTATCCATGTATCTATAATTGCATCATTATTATCTACAATTGTTAATCTCTTACTGTGCCTAATTTATAAATTAAGCTTTATTGTAGGTATGTATGTATACAAATAAAAAAACATAGTATACATAGGGTTTGGTACTATTATCCATGGTTTCAGGCATCCACTGGCAGTCTGGACATATACAGCACAGATAAGGGAGGACTACTGTATACTCTATGCTTGGGATATATCATTGAGCAACACAGAGTTTCATGACATCTTGGAGGTAGTATTTCAATGCTACAAATGTTTATGAAGATGTTTATTGCAGCATTATTCACAATAGCCAAGATTTGGAAGCAACCTAATTGTCCATCAGCAGATGAATGAATAAAGAAAATGGTGTACCCATACACAATGGAGTACTACTCAGCCATAAAAAGAATGAAACCCTGTCATTTACAGCAACATGGATGGAACTGGAGGTCATTATGCTAAGTGAAATAAGCCAGGCACGGAAAGACAAACTTCATATGTTCTCACTTTATTTGTGGGAGCTAAAAATTAAAACCATTAAATTTGTGGAGATAGAGTGTAGAATGATGGTTGCCAGAGACTGGGAAGGTTAGTGGGGAGAATGGGGAGGGAGCAGGGATGGTTAATGGGTTCAAAAAAATAGGATGAATGAATAAAATCTAACATTTGATAGCACAACAAAGAGACTATAGTTAACAGTAATTTGATTGCACATTTTAAAATAACTAAAAGAGAGTGGATTGTTTGTAACATAGTGAATAAATGTTTGAGGTGACAGACACCCCATTTGCCCAGATGTGATTATTATGCATGTATGCCTGTATCTAAATATGTAATACACCCCATAAATATAATATATGTACCTAATATTTACCCACAAAAATTAAAAATATTTTTTAAAAAGGAAGGATTATACAAAATAGAAAAAAATGAGAGGAACATGTAATTTGGGCTTACCAATATTTCTATGTAAGTTCCTTGCAACTTACTATATCCACTATAGATTGTATAAAAGTAGTTGTATGAAAGATGAAGGTGAGGTCCACAAATATTTAGACTATCTTTTTTATTTCCTGAATGTACTATAGGTTATTTATGTTTTCTTACATTTTTAATTCTTCAAGTTACCAGACATTTTGCAAACATTTACATGGCAATATGCACTTTTCAAAGCTCAGAAAACTTTCCTTTTCTGATTGTTCTCCCTTCTACTGTATATATTAAAATTTGAATTTCAGACCTACATTAGACAAATATATACAAAGTTTAGGCCACACCAGGAAGTGGACAGATTAGAGTGTATTAAACATTTGAGAAATAGGCTTGTGTTTGGTATTGTTTTATTTTTGGTTTGGATTTTTAATTTCCTATTTCTTATTTGTGCTTCATTCAAATGGATTTATTTGATGTCTCCAATATTTGATTTCCTTTTCTTTTTCACACAACTGTGTGTTTGCTCATTAGTAAAAGTTGAGTAACATACAGTGTTTACATTTTAATATTTAATTGTTGGATGAATCTCACTTCAAGGGGTAAAGGCTATAGTTCATTGACAGTGATGAAATAACCTAGGTGGCTTTCATATATATAGCAACGAATGTGCACAATAGTTACATTACATGGTATATTTAACAACACTGCTAAAGAGTAAGATGGGAGTTCAGTCTTTCCTGATGGAGATACACCTGAGTGCATTCAGAGAAAATTTGGTTCTGCAAGCTTGAAGGAAGTAATTGTTATTCAACAGAAATCAACTAACTTTGCATATCAGCAAAATACACACACATACTCTTAGCTATTTTCTGAGTGCTCTGGAACTGATATCAAAATAACAAAAATATATTTATGAGAAGTAAAAATGCTGTATTCTTTTCAGCCACATAAACTCAGTGTAATTATGAAATTAACTTTGAGAAGATGTGAAAAAATGTTACTTCTTAACCAAGTAAAGATCTAATAAAAACCTCAAATTTTACATTAAGTTACATCATTTTTAGATGCACATTTGTACCCCAAATGCCATGTCATTAATTAATTTTTTACTGTTCATTTCTAGATGGAAGACTGTATTTGAAAACTACTGTCATGTACTGAATCTTTCCTGTTGAAGAAATCCATGTTATAGAAAAGAACTTTGCAGTCAGACATTCGTCATGGGAAAGTTCAGAAAAAATAAAGTCCTTTTAAGGGAACTTCCTGAATTTTGTGTATTAAGGTTCTTTAAAAGTTTAAGTATTCTACAAAAAAAAAAAAAAAAAGTTTCCTCCATTGATTTTCACCTGTGGTTCATACCAGAGACCTGAGAATGTTTGTAAATGTACAAGTATCAAAGTTCTTACAGTTAATTACTGCAACTTGCTGCTGGACAATTGTATACAGAGTTAAAGGCAGGTCTGAATAAGACCTAGCTTTGTTTTTTTTTTTTTTTTTTTTTTCTCTAATGGAATGAACCATTTTCCTCTTCTGAAAATTCTGTATCTGAGCACATCAAAAGACTCTTGTAGCAGTGGTTACCCAGACTTACAGAATTATGTCCTCCGGAAACCAGCAAGAACACTTGGAAAGAACTTGTAGGGGGCATAGAGGATTCTTGAAAAATAAATACAAGAGTGATATTCTGTTACATTCAATTTCAAACTCTAATTGTGGGTTTTCTCCTGAAGAATTTTTTTTTCACATACTTTCCAAAAGACCAACAAATGGATGTTGACAACAACCCAATGAAATAACATTTTGCGTATCTGAAAAGAAGCATTGAATATAAGCCAAAAGGTTTCGCTGAAGGTCTTTTCTTAAAAATAAAAAAAATATATAAATGTAACATGTTTTCATTCCAAACTGGTAGTGGTAGATAGACTTAAAGATAATAATGTTGCTTCTTATTCAAACTGTTGGTCATATGTACAGTATATAAACATAAAACACACAAGGAAGGTATTATGTATGCAGTAGTATACTAGAGTTTAGGAAAATGAAAATTTTAGAAAATATGTTTTGTCACCCTGTCGGTCAGAAAGACGGCTTTCTGGTTTTAACGCATGCAGGCATGTAAATATTTGTCTGGAGTCACAGTATTAATGAATGAGATCTTAAGCATCTGGTGGCATCAGAACTCTGTGTCAGCCACTTTTATTTGTATATTGAACCCTAGCTAGTGCCCCAAGCTGCACTATTGGGAATGGATTGTGGCTGAACAGCAAATCAAAACACCAGAAATATTTTTATATGTTAATGTCATATTATGTTAATGTTGCTGAAAACAAAATCTAACAAACCTTGATGTACCAGTCCAATACCATGTAGCGCTGAGTGATACAGTTAAAATGTGCTGTGCTTCCCACCCTTGTCAGAGGGAAGGGTGGCTGTGTGTTATTTTCACTGTCTTTTTGAAAGTTACAGTATGTGTTTTCACTTTTGTGCAGATAACTGGAAGTAAAGCGGCAAACAGTGCTTATCACATGCTAAAGTTACCTTCTCTTTGTTTTTTGCATATCTGGTATTACACCTTTAAAGACTGATATGAATCAGTACAGTCACTATACATTTTATGATTTTTCTGTCATCTTATAATTGTTTGATCGTAACATTATTTATTACCACAAAACAGCAAAATCTTCAATGTCTAAGAAAACTAGCTTAAAATGTTTAAATATAGTTCTGATTGGGTATTAATTACTTGATTAAGAAAAAATTAACATTATAGATATTCTAGCATTACGCTTCTATACCTTTTAGGTCTTCCTTGCAATACTGGAACATAATTCTTTTGTGTAGCTCACTATTAACCAGCTAAGTTCATTTTTTTGATACCATAAAAAAGTTATATGTATAGTTCCTATTTTAGCTTGCTTACAAAGGGAGCATTATTTTTATTTAAAGTGTTGTTAGTAAATGCTTTGTAGAAAGTTGGTTTTCTAAGCATAGTTCTTCCATAACCACCTTTTGTTGTTTGAGCACAAGAGATTATTTTCCTAGTTCTATGTATTTTTTTCCCCTATATGCAGTCTTTAAAGGGTTACAACACTTAAAATTGAATGGACTTGTGTCAAGCTTTTGCATCATACATTTTTTGAAAGATTTTTTAAAAAGCCTACAACTTACATATGTAGTAGAATCAGCCATTGCTCTGCTCCTGGCATAGAGTCACCTGTTACGTGGATTAAATAGTTTTAAAATACATACTTTGAAGACCTTTGAGAATGCTTTAGTGTTTTATTTGAAATAAAAGGAAATTTTAGCAAGGATTAAAGAAAAAAGCTATCAGCTGTATGTTAAGAGAGACTCTTACTAACATGTTGTAAATATTACAATTCATGAAATGTTATTGTAAGTCTGTAACTTAATTTTTTCCCTATTTTAGTTATACAGGTTGGTTTGGAAATTTGTGTTTTGGCATAAACAAGTAAAATGTGCCCATTTTATGGTTTCCATGCTTTTGTAATCCTAAAAATATTAATGTCTAGTTGTTCTATATTATAACCACATTTGCGCTCTATGCAAGCCCTTGGAACAGAACATACTCATCTTCATGTAGGACCTATGAAAATTGTCTATTTTTATCTATATATTTAAAGTTTTCTAAAAATGATAAAAGGTTATTACGAATTTTGTTGTACAAAATCTGTACAAAAATCTGTTTTTACATCATAATGCAAGAATTGGAAATTTTTCTATGGTAGCCTAGTTATTTGAGCCTGGTTTCAATGTGAGAACCACGTTTACTGTTATTGTATTTAATTTTCTTTTTCTTTTCAACAATCTCCTAATAAAACTGTCTGAAATCTCCCTGTGACTTTATTTACAGTTTGCCTTTATTAAATTTTGTGAAATGCATAGCATTGAAGGAATATTTACTTTCTAATGGGAGGCATCTAAAAACAACATAAGTCAGCTCTTTGCAATGCAAGGGGAACAATGCTCAATGATTTTATTTAACATGCAACTGCTTCTATCTCTAATATGAATTACTGTGGTGAAAAACATCATAAAAGCACACTCTGTAGTTATTGTTTAACAAGCAGATTTTCCATATTTTGTTTCTTGCCAGCTAAGCAAACTGCCCACATATACATGATTTATTTATGTACATTTCTCAGTTTATGAAGCTGTTATTTGTACCTTTTTTCTTTATATTCTTATATTCCCAGGATTCTTATTTCACAAAGCTTTGTGCTGAATAATGTAAAGTAGACACGTTGATGGAACAAAATATATTATTCCCATATATATGAGTAGAGATTTGTAACTCTAACTCAGTGTTTTGCTTTTGATCTCTATCATTGGAAAAAAATGCCTTTAGAAAGTTTGAAATTACAATATCCTTTAATAATATATAAACATTTTAATCAATCAAAAGTGCAGTGTTTGAGGAAATCTCGGGTTGCTATCTCTGTGAATATTCTAAACATTCCCAAGAGAATGGAAAATGAATTTTTTCTGTCTAAAGGTATGATTTTAATGAATTCTTGAAACAATATATTAAATTATGATTTTTTTCCTTAATAAAACCGAAAATGTTTATGTGACCATTATAAACATATTTTTGTCTTCTGTCATCATATGTTTATGTCAGTAAGACGAGCACTAGAACATCATGCAGTCTCCAGATGTTAGTGAAACTCAGTGAGAATTTAGGTTTTGCCCCCACGTGTTTTCATTGAGACTAGCAAATTTATAATGTTCACAAACCTATTTATTACTAGAGGAGAGTATCTTATAAATATAAGTTATATGGATTGCATTTTTAAAATATGGGAAATGCAGATGTTAATAGAATCAAAAAGCTGTTGTAAATTGCCTTGCAAAAATATCTTTTCCTTGTGTGCAGGCTTGGTGGTAACATTTATCTTTGCTATATGACTCGTATGTAAAAGCCAAACTTATCGTCATTTATTCATTTAAGCAGATTCATGAATAAAGCCTCCATTCTACACAAAGCATTGCACTAGACATTGTAATGACTGAAGTTGAAAGCTTATAATTTTGTTGGAATAAGGAATCTTACCTTCAGGAAAATAAGATTCACTGAGCATTTTTTTTTTTTTTTGCTCTGTAGTGGAAATAGAACTGATATTAAAAGGGTATTGCCATAGACAACTTTCCACTAGGTGGTAACAATCTAGTGATCCATTTTATACTTTAACCTTCTAAAGAACAGAGGTGATTTGGGAGTCAGGCAATTGGTTAGGAATTGAGAAAAAGGAAAGATGTATTTTCCCCTATGTAAAACATCCTATTATTTTTGCCATGTTTGCTCATTTATTTCAATCACATAATTCTTACCAATGATCACAAATGTTATTTTAAGGTAAGTAGCCTGTTTAATTACAGAACAACAAAAAAAGTTATCAACAAACAAAAGTTCCTGATATGTTTAGGCTATTGCATATAGATATACAGTATTTAATCTTTATCTCTCAGCATCAGTATATAGAGTAAGTAACTGCTTAAAACAATTCAAAGAACACAAAGCATAAGTTCCTAAATGCCAACTGAGTGATTTAGGTAATGGGTGACATTTGTAGTGGTAGCATCATTTACATTCAGAGATTAATGAGCTGAAGATTTTGAGCTGAACAATTTGATCAGTTAGGACTCTTCTGGTGGGATATAATAAAAACAAACTTCTGCAAGATTAAAGAGCAAATAAAATGTGTTATAAAGAAAGAAAGGTACACATGGACCCGAAGACAACAACGCAGTCAGACCCCAGGGACCAGGGAACAAGGACCTTCTTCTGCCTTCACTTTTCTGCTCCTTTCAGTGACTCTGCTTCTTTCTCCTCTCATTGCAGACACACTTGCTTCTCTTGTTCATCACTTGACTCTTCTATTATTCAAGAGCATAAGACCCAGCCCACAGGAATGAAAAAAATCCTTCTCTCTGTCTTGTCCTAAGTCAGATTCCCTGAGAGTTCTGATTGCCTCGGGTCAGAGCACATGCCAGTAAGGTACCTTGGCAGTACATTAGATGAGTTTAGGGAATTTTAGAAATTATTGTGTCTAATTAAATTTGAATCTCTGGGGTTGAGGCTAGGGCATCAGGATTTTTAAGTTCTTCAGGTGATTCTAGCGAGCAGCTAAGTTTGCAGACCACTGTCTGGGAGGGTGGCAAATATCACATTATAGAAAACAATTAGTGGAGGTCCTGCTGTGGGGCAGAGAAATAGCTGGGGATAAGTGTGCAATGTGAGCTGTGCACTCACACTACTAATGCCAACTAATAGTTCTGTAAAATCAATTCAATATTTTTGAAATGTAATTTTAGCATTGTGAACTTAATTCTGAATTAAATATAAATTTGCAATAGGAGGAATGCAATGATTTTTTTCTAAATAAAGTTATTGATAAATCTGACCCCAGTGCCAACTGCGCATGGAGGTAAAAATTCTGTCTCAGTCATTGATTCACCTTGCCTCTGAATGTCCTAAACATTCTTCTCAGTTCATCCCATTTGGGGAGAATCCCTGGTTTTTCATGCCTAGGATTAGCATCTGAGAAGCGGCCCTAAACCCTTCTCAGAGAGTCTACAGGTTTGTGGAAGCAAAAGTTATGACATAGTCTGGTGTGGTTCTCAATGTAGAAAGGGTAAATATTTAAGACAATTATATTAACGGGGGAGTGTAAAGTTGGGCGAAAGGAGGTAATGTTTTCATACATAGCTCACACTGGCAAAATATCAGTCAATTCAAGTAAACTGTGGTAAATTCTGCAAATATAATGAGGTATCTACAGCAACCACTAAAAATGCTCTATTAATATACACACTCAAAAACACCATAGATTAATCAAAATAGAATTCTATGCTATAGTGAGGTTAGCTTGCAGAGAAACAGTAAATATTTTGGAGAGTTGATCCAGACTGTTAAGTTACTTTGCTAGTAGTCTCTAGTTCTCTCTTAGGTATTTTGGTTGCTCTTCCATCAATGCTAATTGTGTGACAAACTTTGTCTACTACATTAGGCAACAGATGACCACAAATTGGTTGATAAATCTCCATCACTGTGCATTATCCCTATTGCCTGTTTATTTTGTGTAGTCACTTTTGATAATAAATTTTAAACTTCTATTTTTAAAAACAAGCAAAGACTTAAATGGTAACTATTTAGCTATTGAAAGTTATTAATTTGGCCAGGCACAGTGACTCACGCCTGTAATCCCAGCACTTTGAGAGGCTGAGGCAGATGTATCACGAGGTCAGGAGTTCAAGACCAGCCTGGCCAAGATGGTGAAACCCAGCCTCTACTAAAAATACAAAAATTACCCTGGCATGGTGGGTACTTGGGAGGCTGAGGCAGAGAATTGCTTGAACCCAGGAGGCAAAGGTTGCCGTGAGCCGAGATCACGCCACTGCACTCCAGCCTGGGTGACAGAGAGACTCTGTCTCAAAAAAAAAAAAAAAAACAGTGATTAATGTTAAAAATCCCATTGTTAATTTCTACCATGAGTATGGGAGCTGGGAGAAGACTCTCAGCCCTTTTCTTACTAACTCACCTTGTGGAATTTATAAAGAAAAAGAGAATCACACTGAGTTGGATTTTTCAGCTAAATTCCTTTGGCTATCATGTACCTGGGTTCATGTATGCTGAATGATTTATAGCTCCTTCCATTAATATATTTTTATGCTTTTTAATGTATGTTTTACCCCTGTATCCCCCCGCCACCACCACCACCACATGTGACTACAGGAAGACAATAGGTCCATATCAGAGCCAAAATTATAGTGATAATCATGGTCAATCTATCTTGGGAAATGAAGGTCCCTGCAGTATAGAACAAGGCAGGACAAGACCAGAGAAAATGATCAAAGAACAAATGGGTATATGGTGTAACAGCACAATGTATTTTTAGGGGAGAAAGGAGAGAAAGGTGCAGAGAATTTTTTCACTACCGAGACAGGGTCTTACTCTGTCACCTAGGCTGGGGTGCAGTGGTGCCATCACGACATACAGTGGCCTTGACCTCCCCAGCTCTGGTGATCCTTCCTCCTCAGCCTCCAGAGTAGCTGGAACTACAGGCCCACATCACCATTCCCAGCTAATTTTTGTAATTTTTTGTAGAGACAGGGTTTCACTAAGTTGCCCAAGCTAGTCTGAAACTTCTGGGCTCAAGCCATCTGCCTGCCTCACCCTCCCAGAGCTCTGGGATTACAAGTGTGAGCCACCACACTCATCTGAAAATTCTTAATTGACTAACAGAAACGATAATTTAACATTTCGATTTTGTAGGTATTAAAAGCTGACTGTGATTTGGGGGACACCCCCCATTCCTGGGGAATCTTTCACCTGCAGTTGCCTTGATGAAGCTAGATGCACTTCCATTTTGATGGGTCACCTAGCACTCCTCTTTTATCCGCTGAGCATTCACTATTAGGCCTAGCTATCTTCTGTTTATTCTTGAGTCTGTGCCACATGCATCTACAGTAAATACTCCAGCATTATTACTTTGACAGACACTGGGAATGTTGAAGCACTCCCCATAATGCAGAAAATGCTCTGACTACCTTTGTCAGAGCAACAAACCAGACACATATTGCTACATTAAAATTCAAACATTAAACAGACACTGGTCCTCTGCGTCCATCAACCTCTAGGGGACAAATTGAGTTCTTTAAGTGGTCCCATTGAGATCTCTTCTCTAGACTTTAGATGAAAGACGGTTATTTTTCTCATCCTCTAGGTGTCTGAAGGAACTTGAACCCAAAGAGACCCTCAGCCCTAATCAACTATCATCTTATAACCTCTGATCCTTTATCTCACCTCTTAAACTTGTTTTACAATCTGGAGGGGGTAGAAAAATAAAGGACACAGGATTAGTTTCTAAATATCTATTTGCAAATTCTGATGATGATCTTGCATCTTGCCTTGGGATGTGGTATCAATTTTATTTATTTATTCATTGAAAAATATTTTTAAATATTTTCAGATAATTGTATATTATAAGCAGTTATAAGAAATAACACAGAGACATCTCATGAATTCTTCCCTCATTTACCCTCCAGGTGAACTATTGCATAAATATAGTACAGTATTACAATTGGGAAATTCACATTGATATCATCTACCAACAAGATATCACCTGTTTTACATGCACTAATTTGTGTATATGTGTGTGTTTAGATATATATTTTATCAAGTGTATAGATTCACGTGACAATCACCACAGTCAAGGCACAGAACAGTTCCATCACAAGAGTTCCTACTATTATAGTTTTACAGCTACAGCCATCAACTTTTTCCCTATTTGCCTGAACACTGGCAAATGCCTAATCTGTTTTCCATCTCTACAGTTCATCTTCGTAAGAATGTTGTCTACATGGAGTCATACAGTCAGACACCTTTTGAGATTGACTTTCTTTTACACAGTGCAGTACTCTTAAGATCCATACAGGTTATTGACTTTTCAGTAGTTCATTATTTTTTTATTGCTGGGTATTATTCCATGCTATGAATGTACCACATTTTGTTTAACCATTTGTCTTTTGAAGGAAATGTGGGTTGTTTTCAGTTTGTGACTTTTATGAATAAAGCTCTACTTATGTTTACGTACATCTTTTTTGTATCAGTTTTTATTTCTTCACTCCCAAGAATGTAATTGCTGTGCCATATGGTGATTGCATGTTTACTTCCATGAGAAACCATCATACTCTTTTCCAGAGGGGCTGTACTGTTTCACATTTCCATCAACAACATATGAGTGGCCTAAGTAGGCAGAAGCTCAGTTCTTCTCTCTGCCCATTGACACAAGGCATGGGAGGGAAAGAAGCTCACACCACCTTTCTGCTTACTTGATGCAAGGTGAATACTCACACTGTACCCCAATGACAGGATTGGGGTGGGTGATGAATCTAAGTGGTAGCTAGCCTTGCCTTGAACTACCTCATTAAGTTTCATTGCTACCAGCAGGTGGGGGTGGAGGCTCAACCAGCCCCAGCCAGAAGAGGGAAGGAAGATTAGCTCCCACCTGGTTAACAGTGGGATCACAGCCTACCTCCTGCTTATACAGATGGGGAAGTGGTGTTGAGGGTGGTGGTATTGAGTGGAAAATCAGCTTTTCACTTGCCCCACTAAATATGGAGTATAGTTGGCTGTGA